TTTTTTTTTTTTTTTTCCAGAACTGCACGATGACCAGCAGGAGGGGAGAGGAGGGTAGGAAGAGGAGGGAGCGTCAAGTGCCAGCTGTTGTCTGAGCTAATCGAGCACTTCTCACCAAACTCCGTGTATAAATAAGATACATATTTTTAAAACAAACCAATAAATGGCTTACATGACCTGGCCTGGGCTCTGTTGTTGTGTTTTGATGAGGATGGCAGCCCGGGACAGCGGTGGCGGTACAGGGGGGACGGGATGAGATCCCGAGAATCACGCGGGACTTCCCGTTGCTTTCCCGGGAAAACAGCTGGCAGAGTGGCCGGTCCAGGAAAAGTGGGGTCACCCCCGTCCTGCCTTCCAGGACCCCCAGGCTGGGGCACTGCAGAGAAGCAGGGCCGGGATTTGGGGCTCCCACGATGGGAAGGGTCGGGAAGAGGGAGGTCATGGAGAACAGCCAGATGGTCTTTGTGTCAAGCCAGGCTTGGAGCCAGGACACCGGACCCTGGCTTCCTCGCCCTCACCTCCCCCTGGCTCCTCACCACTGCCCCTGCACCCTACCAAATGCGATCTGCGGCCAGCAGAGGCCTCCTTGTGGCTGGGTCTCTGTCCCATCTTGCGGGTCCCCTCCACAGCACCTAACTCAGCAGACAGCAGCCCCTGCTCTTCCCGGGCCTTCTGTGGCGCCAGCCCCTCCTGGCTCTCCTCCGGTCTCTGGGTTCGCCTCCCTTGGGGGCACGGCCTCCAGCATCTGCCTGAATGACCGAGGGCGTTAGGCCCTGGGCCCACTTGCAGGAAGAGGGCAGGAAACCCCCTCTGCCCCAACCCCGGCCAAGCTTTGAGTCCTGTCTTTGGAGCCCAGTTTTCTCCACTGAGCCCCAGGCCGGCATATCCGGCCTCCTGGGACATCCGCAAAGCCTTCAAGCCCAACCGTCCAACCTGGGCTCTTCTGTTTCATCCGGAGCCCCACAGATGCCATCTTCGACTGCAGTCTCTTCCACGCCCCGTCGGCGCTGCCTTCTCCGTGTCCTGCATTGGCCGCTGCCGGGGTTGAAACCAGGGCAGCTCCT